AGATGATAAAGAATCTACGGACAGGTAATTTTGGTAAAGTTCGTTTGGCTAATAACGACTCTCTTGACATCACAGGGATGGGTGACATAGACTTAAAGACTTCTTTGGGCACCACTTGGACATTGAAAGACGTTCGGGTCATTCCAAGCCTTAAGAAGATGCTGATTTCTATTGGGCAGTTGGATGATCAGGGATTTGATGTTACATTTGGTGAAGGACAATGGAAGGTTGTCAAGGGGAATCTTGTAATCGCTAGAGGCAAAAAGAGGGGTACTTTATATATAAATGAAGCCCCTGATGATGAGATGAATGCAGTGACCTGCGGGCTGAATCCATCCAGTTTGTGGCATCAACGGCTTGGCCACATGAGTGAAAAGGGAATGAAGATGCTCGTTGCAAGGGGGAAACTTCCAGATCTGAAAAAGGTGAATTCTGAGTTCTGTGAACCTTGTGTTCTTGGCAAGAAAAAGAAGGTTTCTTTTTTGAAGACAGGCCAGACACCGAAAACTCAGAAGTTGGAGCTAGTTCACACGGATGTGTTTGGCCCGACGCCAGTCTCTTCCCTGGGAGGATCAAGCTACTATGTGACCTTCATTGACGACTCAACACGCAAGGTATGGGTCTACTTTCTTAAAAATAAGTTTGAAGTTTTCAATATTTTTAAGAAGTGGAAAACTGCTGTTGAATTGGAAACTAATTTGAAGGTAAAGTGCTTGAAATCGGACAATGGCGGTGAATACATTAGCACAGAGTTTATTGATTATTGTGCTGAACATGGCATTCGGATGATAAAGACGGTTCCAGGCACTCCTCAACAGAACGGAGTGGCAGAAAGGATGAACAGAACTTTGAATGAGAGGGCCAGGAGTATGAGACTCAATGCTGGGCTTCCAAAGACGTTTTGGGCTGATGCAGTGAATACTGCTGCTTATCTTATCAACCGGGGGCCATCAGTACCATTAGGTTTCAAGATACCGGAGGAAGAATGGAAAGGAGAAGCTGTCAGGTATGGGCATTTAAAGATATTTGGTTGCAGCGCTTATGATCTTATGAAAGATGGTGACAAGTTAGATGCTAAAGCCAAGAAATACACTTTCATTGGATACGGGGGAGACAGCATGGGTTACCGGCTTTGGGACTGTGAAAGCAGAAAGGTAATCAGAAGTAAGCATGCTACATTCAACGAGGCTGAACTTTATAAAGACAGAAGCACGGCAAACTCAAAGATTCAGAAAGAGCAAATTGAGTTTGAAAATGAAGTCATCAGAAACAGAGAGTCTGAAGATACTCAAGGCAGTGGGAGCATAGAGAATGATTCCAGTACTGACGAGCTTGAGGATAATCAAGGAGATTCTGTTGATAGTGACAATTCAGAAGATGAATCTGCAGCTTCACCCATGCAGCCACAACCAGTTGAAACACAGTGGGTCAGGAGATCCACTAGAGTCACTAAACCTCCAGAAAGATTCAGTCCATCAGTCAATTACCTTCTTTTGACTGAAAACGGAGAACCAGAAAGTTATCTTGAAGCAGTAAAGCAGAATGATTCGTTTCAGTGGGAGCAGGCTATGAAGGAAGAAATGGGTGCCTTGCACAAGAACAAGACATGGGTTCTTACTAAGCTTCCGCCAAGCAAGAAGGCACTTCAAAATAAATGGGTATTCAGAATCAAGGATGAGCCTGATGGGTCTAAACGGTACAAAGCCCGTTTAGTGGTCAAAGGTTTTCAGCAGAAAAAGGGAGTGGATTATAATGAGATATTTTCCCCAGTGGTTAGAATGACCACCATCAGATTGGTTCTAAGCATTGTAGCTGCAGAGGGCTTACATCTAGAGCAACTAGATGTTAAGACAGCATTTTTACACGGTGACCTTGATAAGGATATCTATATGGCACAGCCTGAAGGATTTCAGATTGCTGGTAAAGAAAATCTGGTCTGCAAACTAAAACGAAGCTTATATGGTCTGAAACAAGCTCCGAGACAGTGGTATTTGAAGTTTGATAACTTCATGATAAGGACAGGGTACAGAAGATGTGAGATGGATCATTGATGCTACGTAAAGAGGTTCAAGAGTTCATATATCATTCTACTTCTCTATGTAGATGATATGTTGATAGCTGGTGCAGATATGAAAGAGATCAGCAGGTTAAAGAAGCAAATGTCTCAAGAATTTGAAATGAAAGATTTGGGTCCAGCCAAACAAATACTCGGAATGAGCATAGTCCGAAACAAGGAGAATGGTTCTTTAACACTATCCCAGGAGAAGTACATTGGGAAAGTGTTGGAGAAATTCAATATGAATGGTGAGAAGACTAAACCGAGAAACACGCCTTTGGGAAGTCACTTCAAGCTTACCAAAGACCAATCTCCGAGAACAAACGAAGAGAACGCAGAAATGGCTAAAGTTCCTTTTGCATCTGCAGTTGGTAGCCTCATGTATGCTATGGTGTGCACGAGACCAGATATAGCTTATGCAGTCGGAGTTATTAGTCGCTTCATGTCAAAACCGGGGAGAGAACATTGGGAAGCAGCCAAATGGAAACTTAGGTATTTGAAGGGTACTACAAAGATGGGGTTATGTTTCCGAGGTAAAGACGTAATTTTAAGAGGGTATTCTGATGCTGATTTGGGTGGATGCAAAGAGACGTTCAAAAGCACTACGGGGTACATTTTCACAGTGGGAGGAACCGCAGTTAGTTGGATGTCCAAACTTCAGAAAAGTGTAGCTCTCTCAACAACTGAAGCAGAGTACATGGCAATTGCTGAAGCCAGTAAAGAGCTGGTTTGGTTGAGAAACTTTCTTGAAGAGTTAGACAAAAAGCAAGCAGATTACTCATTACACTGTGATAATGAGAGTGCAGTGAAACTTGCCAATAATCCAGTGTATCATGGGAAAACGAAGCACATTGGGATGAGATATCACTTTGTTAGAGGGTTGATCAGTGAAGGAACGATGAACTTGAAGAATATCTCAGGTGCAAAGAATCCAGCAGATATGTTCACTAAATCTGTGACGCTGGACAAGCTGAAGTTCTGTGTAACTTCAGCTGGCCTTCAAGAATAATGTTGAGAAGGCAGGTGGCAACTAGGAGAAGCTAAGCACAGATGAAGTTTACAGAAGTACAGAGAAGTGGAGTGCAGTTGATTGTGTTTCGAAGCCTCCAAGTGGGAGATTGTTGGGCTGTAGGCTTCGGCCCACTCAGACCTGGGAGTCATTTAAACAAAGAGCAGCAGCCTGCTCTAGTTAAATGTGCAGGCAGCCCTAGTTGGGCCTATTTCTTTGATGGCAGTCAGGCCCAGAACCTTATTTAAGTGCTTTACCCTAATTGTTTGCCTATATATTGACTCCTGTACTTGTAAAACTATTATCTGTATCATTCATCATCTCAATAAAGAAGAAAACCCTAGTTGCCCCCGTGGATTAGGTCAGTAACACTTACTGGCTGAACCACGTTAATTTCTGTGTGCCGTTTCTTCTCGTTCTTTTCTCGTTTTCAGATTTGTGTGTGTGTGCGCCCTAACCTTAACATCTACTATTGTTCAGATCCGTGTGTGAGAGCTAGAGATACTAATCCTAACAGTTTACAGATATAGATGACGGCATCAAGGAAGCCGATCCGGATAATGATGACGAGACGAAGATGAGCGGATCGTCATGTGAGGGTGACGGTCACCATCCGAGAAGGGATGACGAGACAAGTCACTAGACCAAGACTTCGGCATTGAGGAGCCGGTCTTGATGATAAAGATGTCGGCACTGAAAAGCCGATTTGAAAATCTAGGCAACGGTTCCCATCTGCAAGGGCGGGGATGAGACCGGTCTTCAAAAAGATAATCACAACATGCTGAAAGTTTGGTCGTGGTGTAAGGGCCTCGACATCTAGGGGCCAGCCCGAAAATCCATGCAACGGTTGTCACGCGGTAAAGGAATGACTGAGACCGGTCTTGAGGAAAGATAACCACGTCATGCCGAAAGGCCGATCGTGATGTAAGAACGTCGGCACTGAGGGGCCAGCCCGAGATATGATTACGAGGCGATGATAATCCGATCGTCACATAAAGGCGACGGTCACCATCCGAGAAGGGGTGGCGAGCCCAGTCGCTAGATCAAGACATCGGCGCTGGGAGCCAGTCTTGATGATAAAGGTGACAGTGTCAAGGAGGCCGTTAATGATAATCACACGACGGCAACACACGACGGCGGCGACACACGGTGGCCGCACGTACTAGGTATAGTTACGCACTTACTGGGTTAAGATATTGTTGTAGCCACTACGTATTTTTACTTTATTATTATTATTATTATCATTATTATATGTTATTATTATTACTCCATATTTTATTAATATACTACTACGTATTTTAGTTTACTGTTAGTGCTTACTACAACTTACCCTTATTATATTGCATTAAGTATATGGTTTTTGGTATTAAGTTCTAAACATCTTGGTAGAATCTTACGATCCGAGTTACAATCCTACGATTTACGATCCTTAAGTCCCCTCTCAATCCTACGTAGGATCTCGAGTTTGACTATTATGTTTAGTACAAAGGTAAGGCTACATACATCTGGCCCATTATACCACTGTAGGTGGGGAAGCCTTTGCGGCACTGGGATAATATTGTTGGGATTCCTTTTCTGCATCCAAATATTTACACTTCTTTGTAAGCCTAAGCATACATACCGGACCCAACCAGTTAATTCCATTCCATAGTTCTTCTATTGATCCCAAATTCAGTCACATAGCTGCCAAAAATAAACATTCCCTGCACCTGTTCTGGATAACTTTTTAATTTTTATTTCTAAAATATAAATAAATGGGAGGTGGATACTTCCAAGTCGAGTTGTATTTGACACCCATGATTTGGCCCAGACCTAATCATTCACCCAAATTTGGAATGGCCCGCTAAATATGTTTCTGATGATATTTACACCACATCGAAGATAGAAAAAAATCCATTAATATTACTCTTTCATAAGAGAGAGGGAGAGAGAAACCTGTCCTCTCTTGCAATTGAAGTAGGTCTCTCTCAAGCCAACGCACTCAATAGAAATTGAAGGGGTCTTCTGCTTGACACATTCCCTGTAGGGCTGATTCTGAACCTATAAGATAAGCACTAATCGTTAGCATTAGAAAGAGTTGCATGAAAAATAAATGAGGGGAAGATGAATGGATAGACAGATAAATGCTTTGACACATGCTTTGACACAGTCGGATTCACTGAGGCATTTCACTAGTTCCACAGCTAATCCGTTGCATGACTTTGCCATTTTTCTGCTCCACAAAAAGACATGGAATGGGAATCACCAAAAACACTTCCATGAGGCACGAGAAGTGTGCGCCTCTCAGACGCGCAAAAGGCGTCAAAAAGCGCCGTATAAGAAAGAGATAGGTGTGCATCCTAATTTTGAAATGCCTAACCCCACGAAAAATACCAGCAATCAAAACTGGAGCTTCCTTGGTAAAACAAAGTAGAAGAAACCAAAAGAACAACAAGGCACCATGAACAACAAACCCAAAAATCATAATTCATACTCTTATGTTTTACACTAAAGACATCATTTACTATCTGCACCACCAATATCACAGATTGAGATCAGAGTATCAGATCAGAAAGGCAATCTCCTACGTTTCTGTGTCAAAATAATGTGACAGGTTCCTTCCATCCACCTTCAAACCAAACATATAGGTTTATAATTTCAAAAACAAATCATAAAAATAATCTATTAATGATCCAAACATAATCAACGATTCATATATTAAATAATATAAGTAGTATAATTTAAAAGTTAAAATAGTCAAAAAAATAAACTTACCTTCGGTGGCGAGTAGGCGGCGTGCGGTGCACGGGTGCTGATGTGCTGAACGGATGGACAAGGCTGAACTGGTGGCGTGCGGAGCCAAGGAGCTGCGGTGCTGGACTGCTGGCGAGCTGCGGTGGCGACCTAGAGGCCTAGACAAAGGTCACGCAGGACGGAGGTTGCCTTGGCCCCTGGTCGACTGCTGCGGTGACTGCTGCCGCGCTACGGGCCTGCGGATGGGGTGACTGCCCTTGACGCAGGGCTTCCTTCAATCGTTCGTTTGGTTAAATCACAGAGTTCTGGCTGTCTGGCTTTCTCTATTTTGAACTTGGGCTATGTTTGGTTGCTCTTTGACTTGTTTTATTCTATTCAAAAAGTCTCTAAAAGCTTCTAGTTATATGTTCGACATTACAATTTTTAAGAGCTTTTCAAAAATAAAAAGATCTTTTTTAGATGCTACAGACAGTAGCATTTGAAAAAAACTCATGACTTTTAGTATTAATTAGCCCTAACATCTTGTATACCAAACCGAACTAAATCAAACAGTCAGCTTTTTACCAAACAGTTACCGCATTTTCTTTTTAAGATCTTTTCAGTCATCAAAAGCTAACAGTTATTAAACAAAAGTATTTTTTCAGCTAGTTGTGCCAAACATACCCTGTTAATCGCACTTAGGAATATACTAATGACATCGTTTTCATAATAATTTGTAAAGAATCACTTTGTACTATTAACTAGTGTTCTAAAAGGCGTAAGGCGTGGCAAGGCGTCGAGACCAAGCTTCAAGCCTTTGAAGCCTAGGCGGGAATAGACGAAGTCTGGGCGTGAAAAGGCATTTTAGATTTTAATTGATGATTATTACTCTCCTCGTCCCACTAACAATGGGACAAGAGGGAGTGACGCGCAAATCTATAAAAAGTGGTTTATGTAGTTAATATTGAATTGATTTTTTTTGCAGCAATATTGAATTGATAAAGTAAGAATGATTTAGAGCCACAAAAGCTTCACCAAATAAGATTGAGACAATCTTAGTGGGACGGAGCGAAATGGTAAAATGGGACAATCTTAACAGGACGGAAGTAGTATTATATAGTGATATATGAAGAAGAAAATAAATGCCCAAAATATACTATACAAGATTGAGGGGTTGTTTACTTTTTTCATTAAGTTCTGAATGGATTACAACGTCTGTCTAGATTAAGATGTCTCTTTGGATTAAGTGACACGGAGATAACAAGTTATTTACTATAGATGCTGAATAGGAGGTCTGAATTTAACTAAATGACCAAATAACCCTTTTGTCCGGAACAAGTGCTGAATGTACATTTCCTGATTACTTTTTTTATATAAAAATCACATTACATGATAAGATAAAGTTAAGAGATTTATGACAATATTTTAAACTTAAACATTTCCTATTAGTCCATAAGCAATTTCATCCTGCAAATTCGTCGTATCTTGTAAATTTTGTGTGCCTCATTATGCTCCATCTACTTCTTCAAATTGTCACCTTCCTCTTTTGCTTCATTATTCAAGATCGGAAACCTTACTTTCAAAGTAACACACCGTGGGTATGAAGTACGACCAATTACATTCTGAAGTTATCCATGCGTATGATTGCAGATTTCTTCTTTAGTCAATGCATGTTGACGTCTCAAATCTTCTAACCAATACATTCATGTTTTTCCAACTAATTCTACACCTTTTTTGTTTTCCGGAATCACCACTGTGTTCCATACCTAAAGAATGAAATGGGTATGCCCCAAAAAATCAAAAAAGTGTGAAAGCAAATACAATCCAGGATCTAAATAAATTGGATATCTAACAGTCCAGGGTCTAACAAAAAACAAGAGAAATAAGACATGTGTAATCTGGTTCTGATTCTCAGGTTGACTGTGTTGTTATTCGATGACTGGTACGGGCTTTTCAAAATCGAAACTTTATTACATTACTACATATATTACATGAATATTTGCAAAACATGGTTTAGAAACATGGTTTAGTCCTTCGCGTACTTCAAGTATACGTCAAAGCACAAATGTGTCGTGGCAGTTTAGCTTAGTTGTACACCATGTCTACTCTTTGCATAGGTTTAGATGATTATTCCTAATTTGTGGCCTACTAAGTTCTTTGATCATAAGAATAACCCCGAAATTTCTGAATGCATCAAGTCTTTGTTAGAATGTTCCAAACTCTCAAGAAAGGAACTATTTATCCTTACCATCTACCATTCACAATCACCTTCACAAGTCCTTCTAATCAATGGCGAGTTTATTTGTGTATGGTGTCATTACTTTGAGGATGTTGTGAATAATTTTGCCAAATAGTTTAGATTGAGTACAAAGATGTAGTTTAGGGTAGAATTTTCTTGGTTTAGACTGTCTGTTCTGTGAGTATCACTGTAACTACGTGTGCATGCTAATTGTTTTAATTCTGTGTGGTGCTTATCGTAAGTCTCGTTGTTCGATTTGCTTGAGGACAAGCAAAAGCTTAAGTGTGGGGGAATCTGATAAGTTCATATTACAACACGCATTTGATGCGTGTTGGAGTCGAAATTTGATGGTTTTCCTAGTTTTAAGGCGTTGCAAGTCTCATTTTTAGCTCAAGTTGTGATATCAGGCGTTGGGTCGAGTTTTGTTGCATTTGGAGTTGAATTGAAGAAGTTAGAGACCGGCATCGGCGCTTAAAGAGGCAATCAGGAAGAGTTTGGAAGCATTCAAGAGTGATTTGAGAGATTGGGAGGTCACCGGGAGATTCACGACGAAATTCTGATGAAGGATGAGCATTTGGATCGACCTCGTATGCATCCGGGAGCATTTGAAGCAAGAAACGACGAGAAACAGTGAAGAAAAGGCCAGACACGACCGTGCCTGGGCCTGGGCACGATCGTGCCCGAAGGAGATTACGCGAGAGGCTACTGGACGCCAGGCACGATCGTGCCTGGCAGGGAGGCATGATCGTGCCTCCACTTGAGAAACGCAATTGCTCCGCAGGCACGGAGGCGGGCACGATCATGCCTGGCATCGTGCATGCCTTCGAAAATCCTAATTCTACCCAAATTCCACCCTTTTCTATAAATAAGGCATCCCTAACCCTTTTTTAAGGTTACGAACATTACGGAGAGGCCTAGGGACGATTTTTATATGCGTTTAACGTTATTTTACTCCAAGAACCTGGGATTTTTTGTAAGTTCATCTTTTTAATTAATGACAATTATTTCTATTCTTCCCAGTTCTGTTGATTCTTCAACTATGAGTTGTGAGTAGTTTAATTAGGGATTTGGGGTTAATGAAGGGGTTGATCATGATGTATGGCTAGATTCCTTTCGGTTTAATTGCATGAATGTCGTTTAATTTGTGTTTGAATAATTTAAGTGATATCTCTTGTAACCTAGAACGGCCGCTAGAATTACAATTGCTAGTAGAATAAATTAAGAGAGATCTAGTTTATTCTAGGACACATTCACACACACTTAATCGTTCGCTAAGAGATTAGTAGCGATTAAGGGGCCGTAAGCTCGCTCGTATTAGCAATAATTTAGGATCTTGTCGCATGAGAGATCAGTCTGGTCCCCTAAATTATTGTACTCTACGCCGCGAGACCGGCAAGAACTTAGTAATGATTAGCCAGACTCAATTAAATCAATTTCATGTAATTAGGCCTGATCTGCCAGAAATCTGGTTAACCCCGGAATCAATCCCTGTTCCCTTCGTCGTTAATTAAGGAAAAACCAATCTTTTTACTCGCTCATTAGCATTAGTTTTATTTTACTCAACCAACCAAACTCGCACAATTGCGTTTTATTTTATTTCTTTCTTTTTAATCGTTGAATTTAGTTAATCTTTAATTCCCTTTTGTCCGTCCCTGTGGAGACGATACTCGTACTTTTACACCACTTTTCTACATCCATTTTAAGTGCGAGAAAACTCACATCAGTCAGCCGTGAACTAAGGCGGCAGATTGAGCGTCGGGGTCCAAGTAAAGAGCGGCGGCACCCATGCGGAGCTCAGCGGCGACAGCGGCACGTCGTTGGTGAAGACGGATTGCAGAGGCGGCTCGGTCATGATGGGGCTCATCTGTACCGCGCTCAAAACAGGCTGGTCAACCTCCGTCGTTGGAATGGCGGCGGTGGTGACGACAGCATCGGTGGCAGCGGCGGCCGAAGCTTGAGAGGCCATGGATTGGAAAAAAAATACTAAACTGGCTAAAACCCTAGAGCTCTTGATATCATGTGAGAATAATGGAATGACATACCCAATATGTAGCCCTGGATGTCATATATATAGAGAATAAGTGTTCAAAATACAATAGGAAACTAATAAAAGATGGAAACCATAATTTAGGGAATTAATACATTATTACTTACCTTCTCGCTTAGGATAATGCAAGATGGAGTAGAGGCAACAACAAGCCTCTTCCTCTCGTTGAGTGTTCACTTCATTTTTGCTTCCTTTCTTTAATTCTGATTGTCTTTGAAAGTCCTTTCTATTTCAAATTCAAGAGTTTAAAATGTTAGAACATTTACCTCTTAAATGCATGCATACACATAGACTACACACATGATATGAAAAATAATACAAGAACAAGTGAAAAGAAGTAGGAGAACGAAAAAGAACAAGGATTTCTTAATGGGTTTAAGCTCTATAATAACAAACTGTTTCCCCCGCAATGGCGCCAAAACTTGATTAGGATTAACTTGCAAGTACATAAGTGCCTATTGTAGTATTAAAACCGATAAAATACTGGATCGATCCACAATGAAATGGTTGATATTATAGATTTCATAATTTGGATATAACGAGAATAAGAATTACTAAAGCTGTAACACCCTACCTGAACCGGCCCCGCCGTCCCGAGCGGTGTGTCACGAGGCAGGAGTCAAAACGGATTTAACCAAAAGACTTTTAATTATTTAAAACAAAATTTAGTATTTAAATAAATCATCGTTATTCAAACGTCAACTTATTTTTCGATACCTGAAATATCAAGTCGTCATAATTCACTTAATATTATACAGCACAAAATATTTTTATGATATGCGGAAGCGTTTACAAAACGAAAATGATAAGATAAGTTTAAAGTCAAACTTGCTTCTTATTTGTTTATTTATAAACAGTACACACATGATATGCACATGAATCCTATGCCTCCTTCCATCCCAGCATCCTTATCTTAGCTGAATGTACTTCAACCTACGGGTAGGAAAAAACAAACAACTACCCGCTCAGCAATGTGCTGAGTGGTACGGTACAAATACTGATAACAATAATCATAACAATAATAATAATAATAATAATAATAATAATAATAATAATAATAATAATAATAATAATAATAATAATAAT